AAATAATAATAAATTTAATTATTTAAATTTAGTATTTAGAAACTAAAATTATAGTTTCTCTCTTTTAAAAAATTAAAATAAATATTTAAAAATAAAAATAAAAACTAGTATTATCTTAAATTTATTAAAAGTATAATTAAATCTCTATTTTCTTATGCAATTTTAGAAATTTTTTAATGAAAATCCAATATATAAAAAAGTTAAAATTTTAAAAAGGCACAACCTTAATTTATATTAACTATTTTTAATATAAATTTAAATATATGTTGAATATAAATTTTAAAAAGGCACAACCTTAACTATGTTGAATATAAATTTAAATATATTTTTCATTTATTTAAATATGGTTTATTTTTAGTATTTATAAAATAGATTAATTTTAAATTTTTAATCTTTTTTATTAATTATGTTAAAAATAAAAAATATTAATTAGTATACTTAAACTAAAAAATATTTTAACTAAAGATAAATATATTTTTATAAATAGTTTAATTAAATAATATATTTATTATCTAATGTATGTTGATATAAATTTTTTTTGGTATATCAATTATATTACAACAACCATGATTAAGTAATTAATAATAATAAAGCAATAAATTTAAAAATTAGATTAAAAATAAAGTATTATAAAATAAAATTGTAATAATTTGATTAAAATTGTATTTTTTTAATTAATTAAGTTAATGAGGAATTAAAATGTGATAATTTGATGTGTTTAATTTTTTTAATATAAATTTTAAAATATAATTTAATTTCAATTGAAATTTTCAATTGAAAAATAAATTAAAGAATATTTGTTATTAAACTTTTCTTAAACAATGTATCACTCTAGTCTTAATTTATCACAATTTAAATTTTTAATAAATTTGATTTATTACAATTCATTTTGTTAATATTGAGACTAAAGTTTATTTTTAAAGTATATTTTAAAAATTAAATTATTTTTAAAAAATAAATTGTAAAAAATATACTAAAACAATTAAAGTATATTTATTAAAAAATAAATTTAAATATAATAAAAAAATAATATTCATTAGCGACCGATTTCAATTCGGTCGTTATTTTCTCATTAGCGACCAATTTTAATTCGGTCACTATTTCAATTTGTAATTCGGTCGCTAAATGAGTCGCTAAATGATTTTTTTATTTTAGTATGGAATGGCCATCAATTTAGCGACCGAAATTTTGCGACACAAAATATTGGTCGCTAAATAAAAAATTGAAACCAAATCATTTTTGGGTGGCTAAATCGGTCGCTAAATTGCGACCGAATTAACTTGGTAGCTAATTCGGTCGCTAATTGGGACCGAATTAAAGTGGTCGCTAAATTGGTTGCTAATTGCTAATTGCTAACACATTAGCTACTTGGCTTTTTGCGACGACAAATTTCGGTCGCTAATTTCGGTCGCTAACTGATTAGCGACCGATTTTTTCGGTCACTAAAATGCTTTTTTCTTGTAGTGTTGAATATTGTCAACTTGCATAAACTAATTTAATTGTTGATTTCGTTGAGTAAGTAAAATAGTTGTTGATTGAATTTGTCGCAAAACCTCAATTATGTAGAAATGCGATTCAAATTCTAAATGATGTAATTGTTGGTTCTTTGGAGGGGATTTACCTAGGAGAGACAACATCAATGAGATATGAGTTCAACCCACATAAGGATTGATACCACTTTCAACCAAAAACCTTAAGGTATTAGATTATGAGTTATACTTCCTTATATATTGTTCAATTTTCTCATTCTTACACAATATGGGACTTAGAATCATATTTGTATTTCCTAACAATCGCCCCTCAAAGGATTGATACCACTTTCAACCAAAAACCTTAAGGTATTAGATTATGAGTTATACTTCCTTATATATTGTTCAATTTTCTCATTCTTACACAATATGGGACTTAGAATCATATTTGTATTTCCTAACAATCCCCCCTCAAGTGTGAGTCTCTTCACATTGGTACATCCCTCGAACACACTAGTGGTCCTTGCTCAATGTGGGTCACTCTAACCCTTCCATATATCGTTGTTCACCTTAACGGGACACACTTATCTAACTCACTGTCGATCAACTTTCGACTCCGATACCACTTCTTGGGTCTTTGAAGGGGGATTACCTGGGAGAGACAACATCAATGAGACATGAGTCCAATCCACATAAGAGATTGACACCAATCTTAATAAAAGACCTTAAGGTATTGAGTTATGGGTCATACTTCCTTATATGTTGCTCAACTTTCTCATTCTTACACAATATGTGACTTAGAATCATACTTATATTTCCTAACAGTAATTGGATAATTATGATTCTTGCACGTGTTAAGCACGATTGTTGTTATATAAATAGGCTTTTGAAAGCCAAAAGTCATGACTTATCCTTAATATTGCCTCACTTAGCACTAGAATGTAGATTTTATGTCTACTTTTCCCTCTTTTTAAGTTCATGATTTTAGTGTAGTTCTTCTTCTCCAAATTCTATGACTCTTTTACCAATTGTTCCTTGAAATTTAACAATTCAAGATGTTTTAGATCATATGTGTTTTCTCTTTCTTCATCTCTTTCATTTAATTTTAGTTTTGTGTCTTCTCCTTCCATTTTTATTGTTTTTTATTTATTATTTTCATGTTTGTACTGTTTTTCTACGTTCTAATCATGTTCTAATTTGTTTTTGTGGTTGTTTCACCTATTAAAACTTGTTTCTTATGGTTCAAATTTGTTTTTTAACAATTCTAATTTATTATAATCAATGTAATTAAGGTTATTTGATTGAATGTCTCTTTTACATTACAATTTAATTTCTAAGATTAAGTATACTAGTGCAAAATAGAGTTTTTATGTCTATTATTTTGACATTTTTATGTCAGACACAATTTCAATGTTAATATGGGAGACGCGAATTTAGGTTGAACATAATAGCCGACATCAATTTGCGTCAATTATGTGAAAAACCAACGTCAATTTATGCTAAAAAAAAGTATGAAACAAACGTAAAAGGGTTTTAAAAAATAAAAAAGGATGAAATTTGCGTTAGGTGTGTTAATACCCAACATAAATTTCATCCTTTTTTTAAATATTAGATTTGTTTTTTCTTACAACAAAAATCTGCAAACATATTTTAATCACAAATAGTTCAGATTCCAAATTTTCAATAGATAGTAATTCAAAAATACAGCAATACAATATAATACAACCTACAAAACTTAAACTTGTACAAAGACTAAACTTCTTAAAAGCTAAACATTACAAAATTAAATTAATACAAAAACTAAACTAGTACAAAACTAAGCTATCTAAATGTTAAACTATATATAATATAATACAAATAATAACTCACAAACTAAATACTAGAAATGTTGAAAAAAAAGTTTTCATTGCTCTCTAATTTATGTAATATCATGTTCGATAGTAGAGATAAATCTTGAGATACCTGAAACATTAATTTGACTCTTGTTAACATGCAATACACATAAAAGTAAATCAACTTAAAAAATGTAGAAAGCAATTACCTTCATCCAAGAATTAGTTATACCTATATAAACTATAACTTTCATCAAATACATAATATAGTAGTCACATTCAAAGGAGTTTGTTTGCTTATTACACTAAATTGAGAAACAAAACATAATGTTATTTTCAAAATTTAAATACAAACAATAATTATGGTGTTTATTTATATAAATAAGTTTCTCACCTTAGAATAAATAAAGTGTAAATTTTTTGTTCTAGGTCTTCCACTTAGAACATTAGTTCCAAACACAATTCTAATTGAAATAAAGTCATATATTATTCAATATATATTTACACTTTAAAAACATAATTAATGAAAAAAAGATAAAGTTACCCTTATAACAAACTTTTCATTTATGGACTTGATTTTTAGTACAATGAACAAAATCACACCAGAGTGTAATCCCTGAATATGATTACAATTAACTGTCCATGGAACCTACATTATATGACATAAAAATTAGTTATAAAATTAACATGATGAAAAAAATACAAATTAAAATACTAACAATTTAATGTATGAAACCAAGTATATATGTCTTTGTGAGTCACTCATCCATGTTTGTATATATTGTTGAATTCCTACATTTGTATTTCCAGATTTTTGGATGGATTGAAACTCAATAAATCCATATACTTCATATTTTTCTTACTCCACACTCAATTTGTCAATGTACCTAACACAATAAAAGTTAAATATAGTTGTTATAATGTCAGAAACATAGACAAACAAGTGATAATGTATATCCCCAAATTCATTACGAATTTGATTTAAACAACAAATGCATAGACAATAATATGTCTCTTGGATAGGTTTTCTATTTTCACGAACAAATTTCAAAAATTTCCTCAACTCTCTTTTGGTATTCTTTAGTAATACGACGTGCATTCATCCAACTCCGATTCATACCTACCTATGTTATAAATTTTCGTCACTCCTAGATATTCAAACACAAATTCATATTTAAAAAAAAATACAAACAAAAGAAAACGTGGGATTCAAACAACTAAATCGTGAAAACATAAAAAATTCAGTGTATAAACCATAAATGCACTAACGAATAAATGGATAATCACAAACTACAACATATCAATTTTAACAACAATCTAGTGGAGAAATTCATGCAATAACGTAATTGAGATTCTCAGAAACAATCACGGTTTCAATTTGAACATAAAAGATAAGACATAAAACACTAATCTCAAATAGTGAGTTATTTAACAGCCAAACATTTTATTCTTCTTATGGCTAGATCCAATCTCCTAGTCCTTGTGGAAAGGAAAAATAATTTCACGTTCTTCCTTTTGGGAAGGAAGGATTAGGAAAATCCTATTGATTGCAATTTTCTCCAGACCCCCGGGAAAAGCATGAAAAAAGGCTTGAATGGTACGATCCCGCCGTCACCCCAGAATGAAAGGGGCGATCTCGTAGTTCTTGGTCTATGAAGATACGTTGTTAGGTGCTCCATTTTTTCCATTGAGGCCAAACCTAAACTTGTGCTCGAGATATAACTGTCCATATACTGATAATGGATGTATGAATTCTCGAGAAGAGAGGAGCTGTAGTGGTCCCCCCGGATTGCCCGGATCCCACGAGTGAAGAGAAAGTTGGATCTACATTGGATCTCACCTGAATCGCCCCATCTATCCTCCTGAGGATTCGTTTGGTTTCAAACCCTGGTTCAAATAGGAGAAGTACGCCATGCTAATGTGCCTTGGATGATCCACATCTTAGGGTTAGGCGCTGATGAGCACATTAAACTATCCATGTGGCTGAGAGCCCTCACAGTTCAGGCACAACAACACAATTATCAGGGGCGCGCTCTACCATTGAGCTAATTACCCATCGTGCGGGCCTCCCATCGGGGCCACTATGCAAAAGCAAGAGAAACCTCATCCCTCTCTTTTCTTTTTTCACCCCCATCCATGTCGCCCCCGTGTGGCGACATGGATGAGGGTGAAAAAAATGAGCTCCTACCCACTTGTTTCGACCTAGGTGTAGACCCCAAATCTTGCCCGACCTCAAAATAAAGAGTAGAAGACTTCCGTTCGAAGATGGGCAAGGCCTTAAAGGTCCCTAGGATTGACCAATAGGTCCCATATTAGAATAGGAAGACTTTTTGTATACGAAAAATAAGAAATTCCACCCAAAGGGTCGAGACCGCCGTCTCGTTTCTCGCCAAAGGTGAGACCGTCATCTCACCACTTTCCAAAGGCGAGACCGCCATCTCGTTTGGCGAGACGACCGTCTTTCCATTCGCCAAAGGCGAGACGGTGGTCCCGACCTTGTCAGGCGAGATGGCGGTCCCGACCTGACAGGTGCAAATTTCTATAAAGGGGGGGGGGGATTTTCCTCGTTTTCACAACCTTCTACAACTTCTCCAACTGCATACTTCTCAAAATACTCTCCTAAAACCCCTCTGAAGCATTTCTAGAGTTTTAGAGTTCTTAGGAAGCGTTCTAAAGTGCTTCGAGAGAAGAGTGAGCTGCATTGTAGAGCGTGGGGTTTGCCAAAAAGTGCCATTTTCAAGAATATTTTATAAAAAGCTTGCTTCGAAGGTTCCCTCATATATCTTATTCTATTTTATTGCTTTTATTAGTTATTATCTATGTGCATTAGTTACCAAGGGCCATGTAGTCAATAATTTAAATTTTGTAATGAATAAATAAGGGTAAAAGCGTAATTTTAATATTCTTATTTCTTTATAAAAACAGTCCATCATAGGGAACCCGAAAGAGGCATCGTGGGGAAGCTAATACCTTCCCCACATGTAACTAACTCCCTTACCTAACTCTGGTTGTAATGACCAAAGTTGGTTTTTCTTAAAAACCATTGCCTTCTTTTTCCTTTTCTAGTGTTTTTGGTAAAAATATTGGTGACGACTCTTCGAACCTTTTCGAAAACCTCGCCTTTAGGTCTAACCCGGTTATCAGACAACCTAAAGGTGTTGAACCATTTATTTAAAAAATGCGAGTCAACAAAACCATCGCGTCGCTCCGACCACCTCTTTTGACGGCGGCGGTACTAGGATAATAAGCTAATGAGTTTAGTCTTACTTCACCAGCGAGAAACGAAAGAAGACTTCCATCTCCAAATTTTATTCAGACATAACTCGCTTCTTTTTGGGTGTGAAGCAGTGTCAAACTACCCAACAAGCATTAGCTCTCCCTGAAAAGGAGGTGATCCAGCCGCACCTTCCAGTATGGCTACCTTGTTACAACTTCACTCTAGTCACTAGCCCTGCCTTCGTCGGCATCCCCCTCCTTGTGGTTAAGGTAATGACTTCGGGCATGACCAACTCCCATAGTGTGACGGGCGCTGTGTACAAGGCCTGGGAACGAATTCACCATCGTATGGCTGACTGGCGATTACTAGCGATTCCAGCTTCATGCAGGTGAGTTATAATCCGAATTGAGGACAAGTTTTTGGAGTTAGCTCACCCTTGCGGGATCACAATCCTTTGTCTTGTCCATTGTAGCACGTGTGTCGCCCAAGGCATAAGGGGCATGATGACTTGACATCATCCTCACCTTCCTTTGGCTTATCACCGACAGTCTGCTCAGGTTCCAAACTCAATATTGGCAACTAAACACGAGGGTTGCACTCGTTGCGAGACTTAACCCAACACCTTACGGCACGAGCTGACGACAACCATGCACCACCTGTGTCCGTGTTCCCGAAGGCACCCTTCTCTTTCAAGAGGATTTGTAGCATGTCAAGCCTTGGTAAGGTTCTTCGCTTTGCATCGAATTAAACCACATGCTCCACTGCTTGTGCGGACCCCAGTCAATTCCTTTGAGTTTCATTCTTGCGAACGTACTCCCCAGGCGGGATACTTAACGCGCTAGCTACAACATTGCATGGGTCAATACGCACAACGCCTAATATCCATCATTTACGGCTAGAACTACTGGGGTATCTAATCCCATTCACTCCCCTAGCTTTCGTCTCTTAGTGTCAGTGTCGGCCCAACAGAGTGCTTTCGCCATTGGTGTTCTTTTCGATCTCTATGCATTTCACTGCTCCATCGGAAATTCCCTCTACCCCTATCGTACTCCAGCTTGGTAGTTTCCACCGCTTGTCCAGGGTTGAGCCCTGGGATTTGATGGCGAACTTAAAAAGCCACCTACAGATGCTTTACGCCCAATCATTCCGGATAACGCTTGCATCCTCTATCTTACCGCGACTACTGGCACAGAGTTAGCCGATGCTTATTCCTCGGATACCGTCATTGCTTCTTCTCCGGGAAAAGAAGTTCATGACTCGTAGGCCTTCTACCTTCACACGACATTGCTATGTCAGACTTTCGCCCATTGCGGAAAATTCCCCACTACTACCTCCCATAGGAGTCTGGGTCGTGTCTCAGTCCCAATGTGGCTGATCATCCTCTTGGACCAGCTACTGATCATCGCCTTGGTAAGCTATTGCCTCACTAACTAGCTAATCAGACGCGAGCCCCTCCTCGGGCAGATTTCTCCTTTTTCTCCTCAGCCTACAGGGTATTAGCAGTCGTTTCCAGCTGTTATTCCCCTCCCAAGGGTAGGTTCTTACGCGTTACTCACCCGTCCGCCACTGGAAGTACGGCTTCCCGTCCGACTTGCATGTGTAAGGCATGCCACCAACGTTCATCTTGAGCCAGGATCGAACTCTCCATGAGATTCCTAGTTGCATTATTTATAATTTCCTTGTTCATAGATAAAGCTGATTTGGAATTATCTTCATTCCAAGGCATAACTTGTATCTAGGCGATTCATATTTGACTGGAGTTCGCTCCCAGAAATATAGCCCCCCCGCCCTTCGTGCAATCCCACGAGCCTCTTATCCATTCTCAATTCTTATTCGATCAATTCTTATTTGATCACGACATCTAAATAAAAAAACTTACATTGGGTTTAGGGATAATCAGGCTCGAACTGATAACTTCCACCACATCAAGGTGACACTCTACCGCTGAGTTATATTCCTTCCCTTGCCTTGCCTCCATCGAGAAATAGAACTGACTAATCCTAAGGCAAAGGGTCAAGAAACTCAATGCCACTATTCTTAAACAACTTCTTGGAGTTAGGCTTTCTTTTCACACTACTACGGGGGAAAAATTGTATTGAATTGTAAATTGCTCCTATCGGAAATAGGATTGACCATGGATTTGAGCAATAGTAGATGATTTCATAAAACCATATGATTTTCCTAATCTAAATAAAATAGGTTTTCCATGAAGAAGATTTGGCTAAGCATGTTCTACTCGATTAAGGTAGGAGAAGAACCCGACTCAATTTTCTTAAAAAATAGAGAAATCAGAACCAAGTCAAGATGATACAGATCAACCCCTCCTCTTGCGTTCTTGTGCCAAAGATATTACCATTTCCAAAGTAACTGGAGTTCTATCTATTTTTCCATTTAAATTCAAGAGTTCTTATGTGTTTCCATGCCCCTTCAAGACCCCGCAAAAATGGACAAATTTCTTTTTTTAGGAACATACATACATATATTCATTACCACAAAAAGGATAATGGTAACCCCACCATTAACTACTTCAATTTAATAGTAATAAAAATACAAGCCCTACCAAGACAGAATTTGTAACTTTCTATACTCTTGCCTAACAGGCAAAGATTTACTTCCGTGGAAAGGATGATTCATTCAGATCGACATGAGAGTATAACCATATTGCATTGCCAGAACCCATGTTGTATATTTGAAAAAGGATGACCTCTTTACTTCTCTCATGTTACAATCCTCTTGCTGCCGAGCTCCCTTTCTCCTCGGTCCACAGAGACAAAATGTAAGACTGGTGTCAACAGTTCATCATGAAAGAAAAGATTAGCTGAGCCGAGATCACTAACTAAAACGAATTTCATACTAATAGAAAATACTAATCGAATAGAAATAGAACTGTCTTTTCATATAGATATCCCTTCAACACAACATAGGTCATCGAAAGGATCTCGAAGACCCACCAACGCACGAAAGCTGGGATCTTTCAAAAAATAGATTCCTATTCGAAGGGTGCATAACCACATGGATAAGCTCACACTAACCCGTCAATTTGGGATTCAATTCGGTTCCTTAGGAGGTATTGGGAAGGAATTGGAATGTAATAATATCGATTCATCCAGATACAGAAGAAAGGGTTCTCTATTGATTCAAACGCTCTACCTGCGAGATAGGGATAGAGAAAGAGGAAAAAACTGAGGATTTCACATAGTACTTTTGATAAAAAAATTGATCTGATTTTTTTCGTACTTTTCGCTCAATGATGAAATGGGTCAGATTCTACAAGACCAAACCTTGTGGGAGTTAAGGAATGATGAAAGAAAATAAAAAAAAGAAAGTAAATAAAAATTCAGTAGAAGAGTCCTGATTCCAAACAAAAAAATTCAAACTTGATTGAAAATGATCTTTCTGATTATAGAAGAATGGAGCAAAAGGATTGATCACGGAAGATTTCTTGTTCTTATTAGAAGATCGTGATTGGATCCACATATGTTTGGTAAAAAGAAACAAAAAAGATTCTTCTTTGAGAATAATAAAAAGGAAAGTGTTCAATTGGAACATGAAAACATGACTGAATTGGTCCTAGTTACTCTTCGGAACAAAATAGAAGAAGGGGAGAGATTCTCGAACCGAACTAGGAAACAGATCCAATGACTTCAAAAAAATTGAACGAGGAGCCATATGAAGTGAAAATCTCATGTACGATTCTGTAGAGTGGCAGTAAGGGTGACTTATCTGTCAACTTTTCCACTATTACACCCAAAAAACCAAACTCTGCCTTACGTAAAGTTGCCAGAGCACGCTTAACCTCTAGATTTGAAATTACTGCTTATATACCCGGTATTGGCCATAATTTACAAGAGCATTTTGTAGTCCTAGTAAGAGGGGGGAGGGTTAAAGATTTACCTGGTGTGAGATATTACATTGTTCGAGGAACCCTAGATGCTGTCAGAGTAAAGGATCGTCAACAAGGGCGTTCTAGTGAGTTGTAGATTCTTATCCAAGACTTGTATCATTTGAAAATGCCATGTGAATCGCTAGAAACATGTAAAGTGTATGGCTAACCCAATAATGAAAGTTTCATAAGGGAACTGGAGTAGGCTACCATGAGACAAAAGATTTTCTTTCTAAAGAAATTCGATTCGGAACTATGATATGTCCAAGGTCCAATATGGAAAGAATTTCAAAGGTTTTCCTTGACTTTGTCCGTTTCAACAAACAATTCGAAATGCCTCAACTTTTTTAGAATAGGTCTGAGTCAAATAGCAATGATTCGAAGCACTTTACACTATTTTGGAAACCCAAGGACTCAATCGTATGGATATGTAAAATACATGATTTCCAATCCTAGCAGGAAAAGGGGGAACATATACTCAATTTCAAGTGAGTAAACAAAATTCCATACTAGATATCATAGATACATATATAATTATGTGGAAAGCCGTACTCGATGAAAGTTGTATGTACGCCTTGGAGGGAGATCTTTCATATCTTTCGAGATCCACCCTACAATATGGGGTCAAAAGCCAAAATAAATGATTTTAGCCCTTATAAAAGTTATAAAAAAATGGATTCCTCCTTTCATGCTCATGTAACGGCGAGGTACTGTAGAAGAAAAAATTGCAAAATCCAATCCAATTTATCGTAATCGATTAGTTAACATGTTGGTTAACCGTATTCTGAAACACGGAAAAAAATCATTGGCTTATCAAATTATCTATCAAGCTCTGAAAAAGATTTAACAAAAGACAGAAACAAATCCACTATCTATTTTATGTCAAGCATTACGTGGAGTAACTCCCGATATAGCAGTGTCGCCGCCGTCAAAACGAGGCGGTCAGAGCGACGCGATGGTTCCGACTTTCCATTTTTCGTGTTTTTATTGGTGTGGTTGCAACACCTTTAGATTGTCCGATAACCGGGCTGAACCTAGAGGCGAGGTTTTCAAAAAGGCGTTCTTGGATTGTCCGATAACCGGGCTAACCCAAGAACTAATTTTGAGGGGTTCTTTTGGAGTCGCCACCGATGTTTTTACCGGAAACATCGAAAAAGGAGTGAAAAGGCGTTGGTTTTCGAAAAACCAACTTTGGTCATTAGAACCAGAGTTGGGTAAGGGAGTTAGTTACGTGTGTAAGGGAAGTGTTAGTTCCCTTACGACGCCCCTTTCGGGTTCCCTATGATAGGCCAACTATTTTAAATAAGTAAACCGGTGAAAGTACGCTTTTACCCTTTATTTGCAGAATTTAAAATTACGACTACATGACCATAATATCTATTGCATAATTAAAAAGAAAGCGGTAAAGGAGAGAGAGAGAGAGTGTAGAAACCTCCGAGGCAAGCTTTCTATTAACTTCTT